CAACTTCCCCAGGGCAGCGTGGGACTCCATTTCTGTTCTTCAGAGCCCAGTGACAATACCATCCTCTTGGCTTGGGGAAACCTTACATAATACACCACCAGCCTTCGGACTCAGGCAGCCTTTCCAGATGCAGGAGGTCCTGGAACTTCAGCACACCTGATGTGGAATGCCACTCTTTCTCTTCCTGGTATCAGAAATCTACCTCTTGCTCTGTAGTTCTAAACGCCCTCCCTTCCTTCCGTGCCTCTACCCCAAGCTCTTTACTGTCCACCCGAGTCCAGAGTTATTTTTCCTCACTAAGCATTACTTAATGTATCAATTTGGGAAATATTTTTTTTTCCTCAATGGAGACACTAGCTTGTCCATGGCTTTTGTTGCTAGATTCACAACAGCAAGAAGATGGACCCAGGCTAGGCATCCATCAATGAACGAACGGATCCTTTAAGTGTGGTATATATACACATTATTCAGCAGTTTTATATATATATATATATACACATATACATATACATATGTGTGTGTGTGTGTGTGTGTGTGTGTATATAATCTATAGGAAAATGGATGTATCTTGAATGTATAACACTAAGGTAACCCAAAGTCAAAAAGACAAAAAATACATGTTCTCCCTTATATGTAGATCCTAGTCTATAATGTATTCTTGTATACATGGAAACAGGTATAAGTGTGGGTAGTCTAAAATCTAGGAGGCCAAAAGAGGGTAGTATTAGATGATAAGGAAGGATAGGGGTGGGTGCTGGCTATATTTTTATCAAGTTTAGACAGGTTAGAGTCATCTGATAGGAGGGGACCTCAAATGAGAAAATGCCTCCATAATGTCAACTTGTCAGCAAACCTGTGGGGCATTTTCTTGGTTGATGACTGATGGGGGAGGGTCCAGTTCTCCGTGGGTTGTGCCAGATTCTGGAAAGTTCCTTCAGTTGGTTTCTGAACATTTCGGTTTTACATTCCCATGCTTTCAAGAGAGTCCAGACATCTCCATTCCATCTGCTCCACAGATAGCCCCGGCAGTGAGCTGGAGTGGAGTGCTCCACCCCAACACAACAGGTGGAGGAGCAGGGACCTTGCCTCCTGCCCTGTCTCACAAATCCGCAGCCGCCGTGGTGACTTCCATGGAGTGCTGCGCAGCTCTCAGAGATAGATCTGTTTTCAACCCCCGAAGAAGCTTAAAGCGGCAAGTCTTCCTGGCACAGAAGGCAGCCTCATTGTTTTCAAGTCGAACACATGTTTTACATCAAGAGGAGGGCTGTGGTCGGGGTAGGGGAGCTGAAGGGAGATTCAAAGGTTCCTCGGTTCTCATCGGTCTCAGCCTCTTCAAAGCTTCATCCCACTCGACAGGAGTGCTTCTGCCCACACTTGGGTGCTGTGGTGCATGCACAGGGACTAGTCTGCGGGCCAGAGAGCGGATAACAGACACAGACAGCAACCTGCATGCACGTGCCTCCCCTGCAGAATGGATGGTTCTCTTTGGAGTTTACTGAGCTCCCTAAGGCATAGCTGAATGCATGGAGCATGAGATCCTAACTGTTCACAAGGCCATCTCAAACAGTGCTGATGGGTGCAATGGGCTCAAGCTAGCAGGAGTGGGCAATTCTACTAAGGATCTTTGCAGGTATCAAGGTCAACAGAGGATGGGGATATCTGCCTATCTGTGAACTGGAATGTAGTGCATGTATCACCAGGCTTCAGAATAATGCACAGGGAGACAGGTAAAAAATGACAAGGAATGGCCATTTGTATGATGGTGTTTCTGAAAGAAAGGAGTACAGGGTGAGAAAAGGGGGGAAGAAGAAGAAAAGACAGGGAACAGGAGAAAGCGTGGAAAGGAATTACCTTTATTTACCTACTTATTTTAATTTTCCAGAAAAACTGACAAATGGTCCAGGGGCTCTCCCTGTACCTCACACCTAGTTTCCCTGAACTGGTATATTTGTCACCATTAATCACATGCAGATGAACTGAAGTCTATAGTTCATTCAGACTTCTCCAGTTTTTTACATAAATGTCTCTTGGTGTAGTACCCTACATTTAGTTATCACATCTGACTGGTTCCTCTTGGCCTTGGCAATTTCTCAGCCTTTTTTGTTTTTTTGAGACAGGGTTTCTCTGTGTAGTTTTGGTGCCTGTCCTGGATCTCACTCTGTAGACCAGGCTGGCCTCAAACTCACAGAGATCCGCCTGCCTCTGCCTCCCAAGTGCTGGGACTAAAGGAGTACACCACTACCACCTGGCCCAGACTTTTATTTTTGAAGCCTGTGGCCATTTTGAGAACTACTGTTAGATGGAGTTTGTTTTTGTTAATGTTGTTGTTTGTTTGTTTTTATATAACTAGGCAATAAAAAACACAGCAGTGAAGAAGTGCCATCTTCAGCACTCTCTATGAGTACCTGTTATCGTGACACCTCTCTGGACCACCTGACTGTGATGGCGTCTGTGGTCCTTTCCCACTACGAGACTCCTCCCATTCTCAGGTCTGTGGGCCCTCCCCACTACGAGACTCCTCCCACTCTCAGGTCTGTGGGCCCTCCCCACTACGAGACTCCTCCCACTCACAGGTCTGTGGGCCCTCCCCACTACGAGACTCCTCCCACTCTCAGGTCTGTGGGCCCTCCTCACTACGAGACTCCTCCCACTCTCAGGTCTGTGGTTCCTCCCCACTACGAGACTCCTCCCATTCTCAGGTCTGTGGTTCCTCCCCACTACGAGACTCCTCCCACTCTCAGGAAGGAAGTCATCAGGCCCCGCCACACAGAGTGGGGAGTTATATTCCACCTATCAGGGTGGAATGTCTAGAAATTAT